ATCCATTGAGGTGCCTTGGATTGTTTCTGGGATCAAAATGGGCTCCAGGAAACAGGCTGGCCGAGAATGTCGGGTTTGTAACTCAACAGGTTTTGAAGGGTCCAGGTGGTGAAGAATTAACTCTGACACACCATTGACTAGGCCAGGGGTAGGCAACCTTGGCTCTTTTATGACTCGTGGACTTCAACTCCCAGAATTCCTGAGCCAGCCTGGCTCAGCTTGGAAACCTCTCCCTTTCCCCTCAGCATGGCTGCCTCAGGAATTCTGGGAGTTGAAGTCCACCAGTCATAAAAGAGCCAAGGTGGCCTACCCCTGGACTAGGCTGACTAGACTACCATCCCTGTTCAGTCCTTGACCTCTGTTCCTAAGCATTTGCAAGAGGGTAGGTCTTCTTCCACCATGGAGGTCTCCATTTTATCTCCAGTGGGGCATGTTGGGCTGAGAGGCAGTGGCCAGCCCAAGTCCTCCAGAGGCCTCATGTGGCTGAGGGGAGATTTGCATCTATCTAGCCTCCAATACCCCATCCAGATCTTTTAGGTTAGGCCAGGGGTAGGCAACCTCGGCTCTTTTATGACTCACGGACTTCAATTCCCAGAATTCCAGAGCCAGCATGGCTCAGCTTGGAAACCTCTCCCTTTCCCCTCAGCACGGCTGGCTCAGGAATTCTGGGAGTTGAAGTCCACGAGTCATAAAAGAGCCAAGGTTGCCTACCCCTGGGTTAGGCTCACCCTCACAAATTGGGGATTAATCAGCCTATGAAAACAAGATCCTACTACCTGGATGGATGCTCCAGCTAACCCTGTGGGAACTGCCACCTACTGTGAGGCTGACGTGGTTGTCATGATGCTCCAGATGATTTGAATGGCTTCTTTTCTGATGACTACCCTGCTCTGTTTAACTCTTTGCAGACCAGCTTCCATGTCAGCCCTCATGCCTTCTCCGATCGTCTCATCAAGTTCGGCATGTACAGGAACTATGGCATCAACACCGTCATGGAAAAAAGCTACGTGACCGGTCCCGACAACTTCATCACTTTCCTGGATACCCTCAACTTCCACCCCAGTTACCGAACTAAAGGACCTTCCCTTTCGGAGTAAGGGGCACCGGAAGACTTCCTGCTCTCCTTTAGCTTTTCACCATTTTAATGACCAGACTAAAAAAAAAATGATTCCTCGATATGAAGAAATGTTTGCAATGTTCCCCCTTCCTTGGAAATTTCTTTTCAAAGGTGACCTGCAGCAACAGAGACTTCAAAATGCTCCTACCGGATCCTGGCTTGTAGCTTGCAAAAAATCTTAGCCTCTTTCTTAATATGATGAGCATGTTAGAGCAACGTTACCTGCCTTAAACATGTTGGGAATGGTCCTGTCTGTGTGCCTGGTTTCAAAATTGGGGCAAGACCTACTTTGCCGGCCAAAGATGCCACATCTGTCCCACAGCAGCCCTAGCAACTAATAGAAGAGAATCTTTGTAGCTCAGAGTTGAACTGTGGGGTCCTCGGTGCTCTCTGACGGTGGTGGTTTTCTTGCAGACATCTCAGTCTAGAATTGATGATGTTACCTAGTTTGGTAATGAAATGTCTGCAAGAAAACCACCAAGATCAAAGAGCACCGAGGACCCCACAGTCATCGTCGTCATCGTCCTCGTCCTCGTCCTCCTCCCTCTAAAGCCCACTCTCTTCTAGCACTGATGATGTTTCCTAGTTTGGTAATGAAATGTCTGCAAGAAAACCACCAAGCTCAAAGAGCACCAAGGACGCCATAGGAACAGCTACGAAAATAATAATAATAATAATAATAATAATAATAATAATAATAATAATAATAATAATAATAATAATAATAATAAAGTTGGAAGGGACCTTGGAGGTCATCTAGTCCAACCCCCTGCTCAGGCAGGAAACCCTATACCATTTCGGACAAATGGCTGTCCAGTCTCTTCTTAAAAACTTCCAGCGTTGGAGCATTCACCGCTTCTGGGGGCAGGTTGTTCCACTGGTTAATTGTTCTGTCAGGAAGTTTCTCCTTAGTTCCAGGTTGCTTCTCTCCTTGCTTAGTTTCCATCCGTTGCTTCTTGTCCTGCCTTCAGGCGCCTTGGAGAATAGCTTGACTCCCTCTTCTTTGGGGCAGCCCCTGAGATACTGGAACACTGCTATCATGTCCCCCCTCGTCCTTCTCTTCGTTAAACTAGACATACCCAATTCCAGCAACTGTTCCTTATATGTTTTAGCCTCCGGTCCCCTAATCATCTTTGTTGCTCTTCTCTGCACTCTTTCTAGAGTCTCAGCATCTTTTTTACATCGTGGTGACCAAAACTGGATGCAGGATTCCAAGTGTCCAGGGGGCTCTGCCAATCATTCAGCTGAATCAACCAGAGCTCTGATTACGTTCAAGGCAGTTTCCTAACTTTGTGGCCACTGCCTTTGTGGGCAGAGGACTGTCTTGTCTTTGAATGATGCTCCAGGGCAAGGGTCCCCAACCCCCAGTCCGTGGACCAGCACCGGGCCACAGCATGCCAAAAACCAGTCCACGCAAACAAGCAAATTCCCATCCGCGGGATGCAAGCAGCTGGTCCCTGGTGCTCAAAAGGTTGGGGACCTCTGCTCCAGGGCCTACAGTCCAAAGAGAAGTGAGTTGGGGGGGGGGAGAGAAAACTCTGGATCTGATAATTCAGTATATTGACTAGGGATGTGCAGCACTTCAGACATGAAGCCGAATGGGTAGGCTGGACGCATGCCTGCATGTGGCGCATGCCTGCAATTTGTTGAACCAAGGGCGTCTTCACCGAGAACGAAGTGGACATTTGTGCGGCAGCAGCAGCTGTCTGTTCCCGGGAAAAAATGTGACTGCTTTAAGAATGGTGGGCAGGAGGAATCTGGGGTGCTTTTGGTGGCTCTGAAAGAGAACAATGTCCCTTGGAGGGAGTGTGGGGACACTCACAGCACATAAGAACATCTTGTTGCAACCTATTAGTACCCCTGAACTCAGATACCTGTTTTTTTTCTGGACCCAGGGGATTAGTGCATGACAAGAAAAATGAATCAGAATAGAGCTGGGAGTTATTTATAAACAAAGGGTAAACGTTAAGGGTAAAAATCAAATAAAAATGCTTAAAAACTCAGACTGCTTGGGGCCAGGTAGTAGAAGCCTGCATTTAGCAATATCAATTAGGAAAAACTTGTATACAGTAAATGTAGAATGTGGTAAGAGTGTAGTGAGGCGGACGATCCCCAGGAGGGAGAGGGGTGCATAGTAAGAGGCAACTCAGCCCAGATATTGTGAGAGAAAGGGTGAAGAGAGCTCTCCTTGATAGCTCCTAGAACAGGTAGTCCTGGTCTTACAACAGTTCATTTAGTGACCGTTCGAAGTGACAACGGCACTGAAAAAAGTAACTTAGGACCATTTTTCACACTTAACGACCTTTGCATCATCCTCACGGTCACGTAATTTCCATTCAGATGCTTGACAGCTGACTCACATTTATGAGGGTGGCAGCGTCCTGGGGCCACGGGATCATTTTTGGGTTAACTTCTAATCAGCAAAATCAACGGGGAAACCAGATTCGCTTAACGACCTTAAGAACTGCAGTGATTCACTGAACGGCTGTGGCGAGAAAAGTTGCGAAAAGGGGCAAAAGTCACTTAACACACTTCTTACTTAGCAACATAAATTTTGGGCTCGGTTAGGGTCGTTAAGCCGAGGAGTAACTGTATATGGTAGATGCGGGTAGCAGAGTCCTCAATCTGGCAAGATTCTGTCTGTAGGAGGGGAGCAATAAAGGACTCGGCTTGGAAGAATCACCAGGGGGAAAAAGGTCAATCAATCAATCAATTCCAACTTCTCCTGAAAGATTGCGAAGTTGGAATTGATTGATTGACCCTTTCCCCCCCCAAAAAAACCTTTGTTTCCTTGCACACGGCGGCGGCGGCAGATTGCGAAGGAGAAACGGCACGGGGCTGGAAGTCAGGTAAGGAAAGAAAGGCAATTTCTGGGGGGAGCAAGGATTTCTTTCCTTACCTGCCCCCTCAAATATTGGAACACTGCTAGCATGTCTCCCCTGGTCCTTCTCTTCGCTAGACTAGCCATGCCCAGTTCCTGCAACCATTCTTCATATGTTTTAGCCTCCAGTCCCCTCATCATCTTTGTTGTTCTTCTCTGCACTCTTTCTCTGCACAGTGGTACAGGGTAGCAAACCACAGTTCACAGCAGCCTCCCGAGTCTTCCTTTTCCAGTGAACGAGGCTGGAAAAGTTTATTTATTATATGCATTTATGAAATGTATATGCCACCCATCTTGCTGTTCTGCAGCTCTGGGCCACTTGCAATCCAATAAAAGAATATTATAAAATATTGAAAAAGTAAATGCAGCTTTAATCTAAAATCAATAAAGCTGCACTTTTTTTGTTTAGAGTGAGTGTTTAAGGGGCAAGGGAACTTGGCTTGCAAAGTGCTTACAGAACACAGGTTCAGGCATAACGCTAACATGGTTTGCCTGTTAAAGACTTAGGTATGTGTGAACGCAACCCTGATGGTGAAACTGGTTTCTTTGAAGAAGAAAAACTTTTTCTGAAGAAGAAGAAAAAAGGGAAGTGGGTAGTGATTTATTTTTGGAATAAAAAAAGAGCAGAGGCCGCTTTCCGCTCAGACGCGTTCCTTACCTCCGCCCGGCTTATTCTGCAGCCTCATGGCAGCGGCATTGGGTGCGACGTGCGAAGCGGCAAATGGCCACGGCCGGCGGCAAACAGCCACGTCGCGCAGAAACCGAGGGGCCGGCAGTCTGTGGCTGCTAATGGACATATATGGCCCCCATGCGCTCGCTTTGTGCGGGGGGGCGATGGTGTCAGGCAGCAGCCACCCCGGTCCCTGCCTCACCTTGTCTTGCCCTACGACAATGGGACCCCTGC